CTTTAGCCTTCCCCAAATCAACTTTAACAAACCAATGCCTAGGTATCAATGGCGCATTCTTCCCCAAGGTATGGCGAATAGCCCTACCCTAGCCCAAAAATTCATAGCTCGAGTTCTAGTCCCCGTCAGGAGACAATGGCCTCATATTTACTTCCTTCAGTATATGGATGACATCCTTATTGCTTCTCCTGATGAAGCCCAAGGCATTGCCTGTTTTCAACACCTTATAGAAACCCTAGAGGCCTCTCATTTAAAAATTGCTCCCAATAAAATTCAATTTTCCGAACCCTATACTTACCTAGGCTATAGCCTCCAGGCTCACAGGATTTTCACACCCAAAATAGAGCTCCAAACTTCCTCTCTCAAAACGCTGCACGACTTTCAAAAATTGCTAGGCAACCTACAGTTTTTAAGGCCATACCTGAAACTTCCCCCTGAAAGCTTAACTCCCTTAAACAATTTACTAGCAGGAAACTCACATTCCCTCTCCCCTCGCACCCTAACACTCTTAGCAGTTGCTGCTATAGAACAGATAAATCAAGCTCTCTCTCTACAAACCTCTTTCCAGATTGACTACTCTTCTCCTTTATATCTTATCATTTGTGCCACCACCCATGCTCCAGTAGGAGTTTTTTGGCAGTCAGCCAAGACCCCTGAACAACGAGGCAAGCTTCTTCTTTGGGTCTACCTCTCCAACAAACCTGTAAAAGTCATAACACCTTACTTTTCCCTAACTGCCTCTATTATCATAAAAGGGAGAAAATTAAGCAGACAGTATTTTGGTAAAGATCCCGATATCATTGTAGTTCCATATACTACAGAGCAGATAGATTGGTTGGTACAAACCAACGATGACTGGGGTATCGCTTGTGCCTCCTTTGCTGGGACCATAGATAATCATTATCCCACTGACCCTTTGATTCAGTTTAGTAGACTGCATCCCCTAGTTTTTCCTAAAGTTATCTCCCCCTCTCCTTTGCAAGAAGCCCTCCTCATCTTTACAGATGGCTCAGCAACAGGGCAAGCAGCATATGTTATTCAAGGTAAAACCCCTGTCTCCCTGTCCACCTCCTTTTCATCTGCCCAACTTGTTGAACTTTATGCAGTTCTCCAAGTGTTCCAATCACTCCCTAATACCCCTTTCAATCTTTATACAGACAGCTCTTATATAGCCCACCCAGTACCTCTCCTAGAAACCACTCCCTTTATTAAACCTTCATCTAACGCCGCTGATCTGTTCAAACAAATTCAATATCTCATAGTCTGACGCTCCAAACCCTTTTTTATTGGCCATTTGCGAGCTCACACAGGACTCCCCGGCCGTCTTTCGGCAGGCAATGCCCTTGCTGACCAAGCCACCCATACTCTTCCCTTAATAGCACCAGCCTTTAGTAGTGTACCCCTAACTCAAGCTCAGCATGCTCACTCCCTCCACCACCTTTCAGCAAATACTCTGCGGCTCATGTTCAAAATTACCAGAGAGCAAGCCCGAGAAATTGTCAAAAGATGTAATGACTGTGCTCCACATCTTCCTGTTCCTCATTTAGGAGTGAACCCTCGGGGACTGATCCCGAATGAAATTTGGCAAATGGATGTCACTCATTTCACCCCCTTTAAAAAGATGAAATATCTTCATGTTACTATAGATACCTTTAGTGGTTTTATTTTTGCATCGCCCCTTACCGGAGAGGCTTCTAAAGATGTCATTACCCACACTTTGCCTGTTTTACAGTGCTAGGCAAGCCAAAGATTATAAAAACCGACAATGGGCCAGGTTACACAGGAGCTAAATTCCAGCGCTTCTGTTCTGACTTCCAGATAAAACATATCACAGGCATCCCATATAATCCCCAAGGACAAGGAATTGTAGAGCGAGCTCATCAAACACTTAAAAACACGCTCTCCCGCCTCAAGAATAATCCCCTCGTGTATACAACTATCAGCCCCCCCTAACCAACTTAGCCATGCCTTGTTTGTCATTAATTTCTTGACGCTCAACTCCCATGGACGCTCAGCTGCTGATCGGTTATGGCACCCAAAAACCAATGAGCTTCAAGCGTTAGTAAAATGGAAAGATCCACTGACCTTTGCATGGAAAGGTCCTGACCCTGTTATAATCTGGGGCAGAGGGTCCGTCTACATTTATGACCAGCAAAACTCCGAGCCTCGATGGCTCCCTTAGAGACTAGTTAAAACTGCTAACTCACCACCATCCAGACTGGAGTTTCCCTCTTCACCTGAGACAAATTCTCCTTCCATTGCAGATGCAGTTGCCAACAATCCTCGTTCTCCTGATCACGACTACAGTTCTGAGTCATCAGCCAGCACCACCACCCGCGAAGTCCTGGCATTTCCCCTGGAACTACACCTGGATAGTGCTGTCTGAAAGAGGAGACGTTGTTTGGTCCCGCTCTCAAACCTCACCAGACGTCTGGTGGCCAAACGTTTTACAGCCCGATCTCTGTAAGCTGGCCCTTGGTGCAGGAGCCCCTTGGGGTGTAGAAGATCTTTTTGACCAAAGTGCAGCACCTCGTGCCCTTCGTGGGCCGTTAGATTCCCCTGGTTGCTCTGACCCAGAACGCCGGTCAGTTCTTAGGTCATACTCCTTTTATGTTTGCCCTGGGCAGCACCGGCCCCGTCACCTCCTTCATAAATGCGGAGGCAAGTCAGATTATTATTGTGCGTCATGGGGGTGTGAGACCACAGGAGACACTTATTGGAAGCCCTCCTCTTCCTGGGATTATATCACTGTCAAGGCCAATTATACCCACCACAGTACTTTTTGGTCAGACGATGTGATTCCAGGGTGCAACCAGGAGAATACTACTACTAGAGGTTGGTGCGACCCTCTTTCAGTCAAATTCACTGAACCAGAGAAAAAAGCCCCAGGCTGGACAAGGATATACTTGGGGTCTTTGCTTATATAAAGACCATCATGATGAAGGCATCACCTTTACTATTAAACTCCTTAAAGAGTTCCCTGCCACCCCTTCTGTTGCCATAGGCCCAAATACAGTCCTAGGTGGGAAGCACCCTCCCCCACCAAAGCCCTCCACCCTCTCACCTGACCATAGCCTCACAACTAGTAGTCTTAAGCCCTCCCCTACACCGCCAGTGCCCGCTTTAGCGAGTTCTAAAGACCTTGTCTTCACCCTCATAAACCAAACCTTCCTTAGTATTAATTCCACCACCCCTGAGCTTACCGCTGAATGTTGGTTATGTTACCACTCTTCCCCCCCTTTTATGAAGGTGCTGCCATCCCTGGCAATTTCTCCACCACCAATGATACTTACAACTGCCGTTGGGAACGTGCTAGTTGGGAAGGCCTAACCTTAGCCCAGGTAGTCAGTAACGGGACTTGTATAACTAACACTCTGCTAAAAATCCCTCGTGGGTATGCCCACCTCTGTCAAGAAATCTTCTCTATTGAACGGGGACCCCAATATATTGTTCCCCCCAGTGACACCTGGTGGGCCTGCTTAGATGGACTCACCCCCTGTGTCTACAACCCCGTATTACAAGAACATGGATTTTGTGTTCTCGTTAAAGTTATACCCAGGCTTATTTACTACCGGTCTGATGAGTTCTTCCATATCTGGGAACAATCTTCAGACCCTTCCCTCCCTAAACGCTCCCGCCGAGAACCCATTACTGCTGTTACTATTGCTGTTTTGCTTGGCCTAGGGGCTGTAGGTGCTGGCACAGGCATCTCTTCCCTAGTTCTTTCTAACTCTCGCTATCACGAACTCAGTGCCACTATAGACCAAGATATCCAAGAATTGCAAAAAGGAATCTCTGACCTGACAGATTCGATCTCGTCCCTCGCTGAAGTAGTTCTCCAAAACCGCAGGGGGCTAGATCTGCTCTTTCTGCAGCAGGGCGGGCTTTGTGCTGCCCTAAAAGAAGAGTGTTGTTTCTATGCTGACAAAACAGGGGTTGTTAGAGATAGTATGAGAAGGGTCAGAGAAGGGTTAGAGAAAAGAAGAATAGAAAGAGAGCAGAGTGAAAGTTGGTATAAAAATTGGTTCTCTACCTCTCCATGGCTCACTACTCTTTTGCCCTCTCTCTTAGGCCCCCTCATAGGATTAATATTGCTCTTGTCTTTCGGCCCTTGGGCTCTTAAACATCTGACGAGCCTTGTAAAAAAGCAAATAGACACCCTTGTTGGCAAGCCTATTCAAGTCCAATATCATAGACTTGCTCGTGATAGCGATGATGAGGAAGCTTCCTCCTCCAGCAGGTATGAACATCAGTATGACTCTTCTAAGAGTCCTTGAGTAAGCTGGCTGAGTACCCAGGGTAACGGCAGCAAAAAACCTGCCTTGAGGGACATGTCTGATTGCATAGAGGTTTGTGTCCAGCATCTTCCTCTCCTCAAAAAATAAGGACACTTCGTGCATAATTAAGCGACTCCCTTCTCTTCAGCACAGTCTGTAAGACTAAAGGAGTTCTCCTCGCGCGCCAGGTACCCATATGCCAGGTACCCACTGAGGATCAGACCCCTGTACCCCCCACTGAAAAATATTAATTCTTACAACAAATCAAGTCAAGACTGGTAGCCAATGATGGGTAAGATATGGTTGTATAGGGAATACCAACCTAAGACAGGGTATAGTCGCTAGAAGACTATAGCCCCATGATGGGTAAGGATTTCCTTCAGCCGTACAACCTAAAACAGGCACAGGCCTTGACCCAGCCAGAGCTAGGCTGGCTGTTCCAATATAAGAAAAATGGGGACCTCCTCCACCCCCTAATAAGTGATATATAACCTGCGCAATTAATATGGCAAGTAAGCCCAGTCACAGACAACATAGTAAAAGGCAGGAAGCATCCCATCTTAAAGATAAGGTTGCGTTTTAACACCCAGGAAGTTAAACAGGTAAGATTATTTAAAAAAAATTTTTATTAAGGTATTGATATACACTCCTATGAAGGTTTCACAATGAAAAACAATGTGGTTACTACATTCACATATTGTCGCGACCCCCCCACATCATACCCCACTGCAGTCACTGTCCATCAGTGTAATAAGATGCCACAGATTCACTATTTGCCAAGAAGTAATTAAGTTGCTCTTGGCTTTTTGAGCTTTAATTGATTAGTTTTGGGTCTTTTTAGTGGACTTTCTGGCCTTTTTCTGTTTACATCCTGTGCATAGCTAATTTCCTGCCTAACAAGTAGGTTTTGCTTTTGTCTTTTAGAGGGTTTCATTTCCTGCCCAGAAGCCATTTAGTTTGATGTAGCCACATTTGTTTACTTTTGCTATTGTTTCCCTTGCCTGGGGAGACATACTCAAAAAATTTGCTGACACCAACATCCAAGCGCTTACTACCTATTATTTCTCCAGTTTTATGGTTTCAAGTCTTAACATTTGTAGAAACAAACAAAAAACTCATCCCTCCACTAAACCTAAGAGCGTGCTTTTTGATTTTCATCCTTTTGTCCTCCAGAGAGTTGTTTCATCGATCATTCATAAGACAAACCCATTTCCTTTTTTCACTGGTTTATTTAGGATTGCTCTGTTTTAAAAATGATGAAAAAGAAGTAAGTACAAGTTTTTCTTTCCTCAGGTGGTTGTTTTTATATACTAAACATATGTATCCATGTTAATATGTGTAGCTTTAGTTCATTCATTTTAACTGGTATATACTATTTTGTTTTATAAACATACCACAACCTTTTAATTTATTTTTCCAATATTTCACTATACAAATAGTGCTGAAATTTACATTTTTGTATATGACCTCTTGTGCACATGGATGAGAACTTTTCTGGATTCTATATCTGGAAGTGGAATTGCTGTGATGGAAATGGCATACAGCTTTGATTTCACTATGTATTGCTTAATATTTTTATACAGTGTTTATACCAGTTGGCACTACCAGTGCGTAAGAGATTTCCTGCTCTACATTTTTGCCCATTTTTGGGATTTCTGTGGTTTTTGCCTTTCCAATTCCTCTGTATAGAACTTGCTATAAAGTCCAGTAGATTTTACTTCTACATTTTTTTTATTTCTAGCTCTTCTTTGCACAGCCACGAAGTAAGAAAATTTTTTGATTCATTTTATCTCATTCACAATCATCTTTGTATTTTTGACTCTACTGCTACAACTTTAGATGAGACCCTTCTTACCTAAACTATTGCACCAGAGTGAGTATTGCAATCTCTCTATGGGAAATCTCTTCCTGCTCCAATCCATCCTGCTTGAAACTGCTAGATCAGTATTTCTCATGTAATTAGTTTACCATTGTTCGCAGTGTTAAATTTAAACACTTAATGTGGTATTCAGGGTTACCTATTATAAGGTCCTAAACTACCTTTTCAACCACTATTTTCTGCATATGCCTTATACACAGCCAGACTAGATTTACCTGCATTTCTTCATTCAAATAGTTGATATTTAATGCTTTTACTATACTATACAGTTGTATTGACCCTTGAGTTTTGTAGGTGCTATTGCTATAAAACGAACAACTCAAGATTCTTGTTATTGGCAGCTTGCAAGTGACTTCAGGCTCTTCTGTGAATAAACCCAATGTTTTCAGCCGCTGTTCCTCAAACAAGTTTTACCTCCGCTGGTGATGCCTTTTTTCCTAGTTCTTCCACTTAGCTTTCTTTGCCTTTCAAAGTCCTACATACTTTTCAAGGCCTGCTTCAGGAGGCATCTTTCCATGAAGACTTTTCTAACACCTGCAGTCAATTTTGCTCCCATTCTACTATAGTTATATAGATTTTTTGGCACTTACTATGTTCCATGTATTGTGTTACCTTTCCAAGGTGATAAGTAGACTACTTTGTCCATTTATATTGCCTTTGTAAAACTTAATGTCTTATATATGGTAGGCATACTATTAACTTCAGTTGAAAATAATATATTAATTAAAACCAACCTCAGCAATTAGACTATTTTGGGAGGAGATCAATTTGAATTAGAAAAGATGCTTAATTACATAATTATATCTAGTGCTCTTTGAAACACGATAGAATAAATTAAACTAAATCGAATAGTAGGTTTCTATAAAGAGATCTTTAGGGCTCACTTTAATCAACAATGAACTTTACTTGTAATTAGTGTAACAGTTATTCAGTTTGTTTTTAGACTTAAGTAGTTCCTTTAAGGCAGAGTTTTCCAAACTGCACTCTGAGGAATCCAATGAGTTGGTTCAGTTGAGGTGCTTTGGCTATTGCTGGATGCCCTCCCTGCCCCAAAGCACAGCCCTTTATTTATATTTTACTATACTGGGCTCCTTCCTAAACAAGATTTTATTTAGGAAAGACTCTTCTGATGAAATTGTTTTAAATAGTCACTGAGTGTAAATACTTCGACTTTATTCATATATTAAAATTTTCCAAGATCTTACAAAAAGATAATAATCCCTCTTACTCCTTTATTACCACAAACTGCAGATCAGTAGTTTATAATGAATATGGGACTTGAAAAAGTAAAGCAAATGATATGTAATGGGCTTTGGGTATAGCAGGTAAGCTGTCTGTTCTCTGAAGATTCTGTATCTGAATTTGAATTTTTGAGGAGTAGTTAGAATATCAGAAATTACTGGAATTGGTATACAAATTGTTAGCTAGGCTGAAGAATTTTCTGTATCATGGCTTGTAAATTTTAATGTGTGTAAAAATCTGATTCAGTACATGTAGGCTGGGGCTTCAAATTCTTACTTAAAAAAAAAAGCAGTTTTAGCATTAATGGACTGTGGGCCACATTTTGAGTAGCAAGGAGCTAGCTGACTTTCCAAAGCCTATCACCACATTTTAGGACTGCAGTCTTGGTCCTAGATAGCAGGTTTTCATGATTACAATAGACATTTGCTTAAACTGCCTGTTTCTCTACAGTCTCATTTATATTTTGCAATTTTAATAGGAAGTTTTTGGCTGTAGCTCCAGGAGTAAGGGGTAGGGGTTCCCCCTCCAGAAACAAATTCCAGTGAAACCAAACTAAGTCAAGGGAAAGGGCAGGTAGGGAGAAACCATTGTTACTGCTCACAGCTCCAGGTGTCCTCTTGGCCACTGCACGGCATGCGCTTAATTTTGTTTGGCTGAGGCTGTTTTAGTTGGTATTGGTATAAGTACTGCCTTTTTTTAAAGCAATTGTTATTATCACGAATTAACAGCAATTATATGCCACAGCAGGTTAAGCTGTTAATTTTATCTGTAGCACATGTGAATCAAAAACCTAATTTGTGTAAACAACCAATGAGACAGACAGTTATTTAGCTAAGTAGTTTATACTCAAAAAGAAATAAATCAATTTTGAGGGTCATTAATTATTTTATTTAAAATATATAATATCAACTATTTTCATAGTCTTTTGGGCTTTTATAGAAAATTATAACTAAATCATAGATTTAAATAATAGTTTTTTAAGAAAACTCTCAATTATTTACTTTTGATAAATGGAAATTAGTAATTAGCTTTTGTAGACTAGGACAGCAGAGCAGTTTTTGGGGAAAAATTACAAGTTTTATCTAAACACAGTAGAATAATTTTCATACTGATAGTTATGTCAGCCCTACATTATTTCACTTAATAATTATCAGTTGTAGAAATTGCTGGAGTAATTACATTACAAAAGGACTTTTAAAAATATTCTGATTCCTTATCAAGTAGGTACTAACATTGCTATAAAAGTTTTCATGTGGGATTTATGTCAGATGTTGCAATTCTGAATAAAAATAAACTTCGTTTCTTGTAGCATCCATTGTTTTTTTTTCTCAAAGATTCTATAATAGTGCTGATAGAAGCAGAACAGTTGGAATTTACATTAAAAATAAATGTGATGAATAAAAAGCACTACACTACAACATTATAGCCTTGATTTTTCTTTACCAAAGTTCCAAAATCTAAAGGACAAAAATACTGACAAGGTCAAGAAAAAAATGAAAGAAAGAAAATGAAAATGACACTGAGGTCTTGGTTTAATACATATGTATTCCAGGTTGATGGTTGATTTCATTAGCAGATCTCATTGTTATGCAATGTATGCTCTTCTGCAGCAAAATGAATATTGTATACACAGGCTCTGTGTATCTATTATGTTGCATTAAATGAATACACATATTTGTAGCTTTCTTTGGTTTATTCTTTATAGTTTGTCTTTTAAGAAAAAGAAAAATTGAATTACATTCTTGTTAAATTGGTAAAAGCTTTTAGATTTATATTATAGATATGTTTCCTACTTTTATTCTCTGAAGTAAACAATTTTAAGTGGTTAATGTAAAATTCTAATTATCCTATAACTTTCTAAATTAATAGAATATAATATTGATTGATTTAAGCTTATAATTAATACTGAGCTTCTTAAGCATATGCTTTCCAACATACTTTTAAATGTAGGAGTGTTTTTTTAATTGCAAGAAAAATGTTAAACAAGTGTAGATATTATGCCAAATGTAAATACCATTACCTTTTGCAATACTAAAGATTGTAGGCTGAGATCACTAAGGTTTGAATTTTCATAAAACAGGAAATTCAGAAATAACAAATTTCAGTGGATGCACACTGGAAGAGTTCATTTAATAATAGAAGAGGTTGCCTGACTCTGGGTTATGTATATGAGTTCGAATATGGATCTAACTGTACTGGATACCACTGTCATTTAATCTTAGTCATTTTGAGGTCTGACAATAAGTTACAAAATCTATGGTTTTTGGTAGTGTTCTCAAAAGTTGTCCTCACAACTAAAATGCTTCTGACAAGCTTGAAAGTAGAAGAGCCTAAGGTTTGATGTAATATGGGTTGATTATATGCCATTTGGAAATTACCTTTGTGGTTAAAAATTGGCCTTCTGGCTTACTTGATGAAATCCTAATATCTTAGTTATGTTGAACAACCATAAACTGTTATAAGTATGTAGTTGATTAATGCATCATATTAAGTTAATTTGTACTTAGAGCATTTGCATTTCATTATTCATAGTGGGTAACGTAAAAACTAGGAATTCCAATAGCTAGTAAGGGAAATACTAAAATAATTAGAGAGTAATATAGAGCTAAATCAAATAGGATGAGAAGGTTATGTGGGCCCAAATAGCCAGGCTTTTGAGAGAGGAGCATCCTGAAAGTGATGAGATTTAAACTGATGAGGTAGGAAAGCAATGGGGTACAACATGACCATAATGTGGGCAGTAGGAGAATATAAATTTGGCATCTTTGGGAGACAGAGAAGAGGAAACCCAACTGTAATGGAAGATACAATTTGCTACTGCCTACTTATTAAATATCAGATTGTAGCATTGCTGAATTTTAGTAGTATTAAGCCCAGATATATGGTATATTGAGATGCTGCCATTGTGGACCTTATTTTTTCTTGTATGATAAAATGGGAGATAGGAAATTCTCTTGATACTAATTTTACTCTTTTCTCCCCCACCAGTAATGTAAAAATAAAACCTGCCAAAGTGTGTAAAGATTCATACTCTAAAATGAATATTAATTGGTGTAGACTGAATGGGAAGATAATCAATCTAGAAACTCTTGTTAAATTTCTTTACCATTTCTTGCTTACAAACACCAAATTGAGGAGGAATAAAAATCATCACAGATTGGGCTCCCCGGTTGCTGAATTAAGCAGGATAATAGAAGACCCCCCCCCCCGGAAAAGTAAGAGAGGGACTTTCAAGTCTTAAAAAGAGGTCTCCTTGAAGTGTTTGGACCTATGTATTAGTGTCATCTTCTTCTCATCTGGAGCCACAGTTGTCGCTTGCATGACCATTTTACTTACTTATCCATCTGAGGAACCTGAATTTAGAAAATGAAATAGGACTTTGGAATATGAAAATGGACTATGTAACAAATATCCTGAGGATTGTTAGTATTTGTTTAAAGTCCCAGATGAATACCTTCTGGTGTAACTATTTACTAAAAGCAACACACTATATAAAAAAATGTTGCAAATCCAATAAATGAATACATATAACCCCAGATTAAATTGTAGAATGTTTACTAGCAAGATGGTTAATTTTCTGAATAACTTTCCTTATGCTATGACCCTAGCTGTGTTGAGGAAATGTTAAAAGAAACTTTCATAGGAAATCTATTACTTAATTTATATAAAGATGCTGTTTAGAAAATTACAGTACTGTCCAGTGTCCTGTTGTTGAAAAGTAAAGAAGTTTCTCTTACTTCTGAGCACTAAGA